TATATGCCGCATAATATATTTTATTGCACTGAAAAAATTGAAAGTATTTTTAGATATCAATTATTATATACATTATAATGGTTTTGTCCTAAAAGTGATGAGACTAGTTTTTGTGCGCACATCAGAAGTTAAGGCCAGGAAAGAAAAATGGCAATCGAGGCAGTTGGCGGAGAACCCTCTAGGTATACAGTCTGATCATTCTCAGTTACCTTTCTAGCCGTCAATACTATCAGCAAAGTGCGTTGTAATTTTTGTGTCTTGTCACGGACCAAAGTTCAACAGTCTTGAGCAGCGATTAAATTCTGCGTCAAAATCTGGTTCCGAAATATTGAAGATGTTGGAGAACAGCTTATGGGGATGCTGCTTTGTCTTCAAAATTTGATCGCATAACGCTGCTCAAAATGTAGCACAATTTTGAGCAGCGTTTGAGACTGTGCTGAATTTTTGTCCATAACAAGACACAAAATTACAACGCACTTTGCTAATGGTATCGACTGCTAAAAAGGCTCGGAGGCAGTTGAGAAAGGGGTCTGACTGTGTACTTCAGGTCCCTCACCAACTACGTCTATTGCTATTTTCTTTTCCTGGCCCTTCTGACGTGAACACAAAAACTAATCTTATTACTTTCGAGACAAACCATGTATATTAAACATGTACATTTTCCCAAATATAAATAAAAATCAATACATCATGAAAATCTAAGGATAACGTGCAAAATTATATTTAATTGCAAAATTCAATTTGCATAATTCTGAAATAAAAAATTGTATATACAACTAACCTGGTCCACTAAAATCTCACCAAGAATGCAATATATACACATGTGTATAAATATATTGACAACGGAAGATATAAAATAGATTAAATGAGTAAACGACATATTATTTCCTTCGTCGAACAGCTATTTTTAATTTAAAAGGCAAACGTATTTATTCTTATTAATATTAACTATTGTAATAATATGTAAATATAAATGTAATAACTTCTTAATCAGAATTCTTAATTTAGTGTATTCATTAATAATGTATATATTAATTTAGTTATACAATTTACATACATACATGTTTTTATCCTTTAAATAACCTTTCAAATACTTACGCTAATCAGCCGAAATCCAAAGAAAGCAAAGAGTATTGCAAAATATATAAATAAAGAGAGAAGTATTATATTGTACATATCTTCAATAATATCAATAGCTCTAAAAGATATTTCAATGTCAAATGTCAAATGTATTGGATCATATATTTTGTATAAATTATTATATTTACGTATATATATTTTTTATAAGTAACAAACCTAAGCAAACGAACATGTTTTATTATGCAGCATTTTAATACTTTGTGATAATTCATGTATTTATCCAAATGATGTAATCGATTCTCGAGAATGTCTAATTGACCGCATATATGAAAAACCAAGAGACTGAGAAAATTGTCTACTCCAGTATAGGCCATCATACCGATAATCACGTAGATTGCTTGGCTAAGAAATGTCAATTCATATTGCGGCCTTTTTGTTATATCGTAAATATAATGGGTTTGAAAAGGCATTGGTCTTCCTGGATCAGTAATATTCGGAGTCAATCTCATTGTCGTTCCAAAAACGGGCAGCCCGACAATAAAGAAGCACTGTAATCCCATTATGCAGTAAGAAATAATATTAATTATTCGTGCAGTTTGCGCCCTTTGGATCATTAAGTTTTTCTCTTGGTCACTTTTTGCTTTTATCCAATCCTTCGCGATCATATTTATAATCGGTATAATAGCTTAAAAGGTAAATAATTTTATGCACATTTTACATTACTGAATTAAAATACATTAAATTCAATTCTAAGTCGTAAAAATAATTAAGCACAAAAAAAGACAAAGTTACAATTTTATTATTATTTTTATCTTTTCAAGGAAAATGATTTAATTTAAAATCAGAAATAATAATTCCGTATCTATGAATCTTATTACACATAAATATAATTTATATTTTTTATAACTTGTTATAATATTTTTATATGCAAAATAATTAACTAAATTAAATGTTTATCTTTCTTTATTATACTTATTGTTCTTTCTAAATGTTGTACGATATATAATTTTTTGAAATATAGAAAATGCTTAATATACTTTTAAACTTTGTAAGAAACATACTAATATGATCAGCTATTATTATATATATAAATAAAATAAATTTATATGTAACTTAAATCTTTATAAGTAAATTAAACAAGCAAAGTATATTTAAAATAAGTTGTTAATATTCAATTTTTAATATTTGATCCATACATTATTTACCATACTTTTACAAGTATGGTAGCTTACAAGTCAAAACAACAAGGATACCTTCTTTTTTCCACCAAAAAACTATCATTCTAATCATGCAGCTTACAACTGGTAAAGTAAATTGTAAATTATCAAGCACTAGCAAATTGTCACCAAAAATTTTTATCAAGGAGTGTATTGAAGGAATAAAAAGGCAGAACATCATTCCCAGCAAAGATATAAACACTCGAAAATTGCACACTAACTTCTGCCAAGGATTTTGTTTGTTCTTAGGCCAAAGTCCAAGAATATTTAAAGTGAAACGATTTAGTTTCACCGCCCATTCGAAATCTGCAGAAACCTTGATAAATCCGAAGATTAAAAGGATTACACTATTCAGAACATACACAAACATACATAAATATAGCCATATTAATTAAGCCGAGTATACAAAAAGTTATTTAACAAAATAGCTTATAAAAATTTAATACATTTTTTTATACATTTTAATTAATTATGCAATTTAAAAATTATTCAGAAAATATTAAATCAAACTGATAACAAACTGACACTTGAACAAAAATAATGGATCTTAAAATGTACTGTAGTTAGATGCAACTAGTATATAGTTATAATAGGTTGTTTAATAACGTTGTTTAATGTTAATAAAAAGTACAATACACTATAAAATGTGATAATTCATAATTTACGTAATGATGTGATAATAAGACACAAATTATTATTATTACAAACGCTCCCATTCTTCACATTGCAAATAAAATTCTTTATTAAAATTATTTCATTTCAGTCATAATAATCAAGACTATAAGCACCTCGGTATTTGTCATATTTCGAACTGTCCATGTCCAATGTTATCTAAAGACTGACGTCTCTTCCTTTTTCATGAATCGATGTTACCTCTTAGTAAGAAACATTTTCGCGCATACTTTTAATAAGTATTTCTTTTCAAAAGTGTCGAACCATCAACTTGCAACAAGGTGTTTTAAATATTTTAAATATTCTGCTTTAACTTTCATTTCAAATTTTCAACATTGATCTTCGCGGAAGACATAAGCGAATAAAAAATTGCAGGTGGATATCATGCAATAAAAAAAACTGCGTGTACACACGTTATATTCCCACACTTCTGGAAGAGGCTATAAAATTGTAACCGTAGTTGAGAAGAATTTATATTGAATGTATCACACAATACTTATAGTCTTTATTTGTCAATAGAAAAAGTAGATTTGCAACTTTATATTTGTTGCATAATATGTTGTTAGAAGGTAAAAAATTTCAATATATAATAATTATAAGTGCAAGAAAATTACCCTAATTAGTATATTAATTTAAAAAAATATAATATCTAATTGATGTGCATTAAATTACATATATATGTATAATGAATGTAATTAATGTTAAATAGTTAATATTTTACAATTTAATTTGATTTATTAAGAATTTGGATTTTTTTGAATATAAATCGAATTAAATTTTAGATTATTTTGTTTCTAATTATCTAATAGAATATCGATATACATTTTAAAATGTCAAATCGTGCAGTCAATAATTTATTTATTAATTGTTATTTGTTAATATAATGTATTCATATTTATACAATATTCTTATATATATAATAGTATTATCGCATTCTACAAAAATAACATTATCAAAAAGTTTAGATTTATCTCACTTTTCTAATAACGTTTCGTTGTATGCAAAACGGATATATATCCAACTGATGTTTTTAAAACCTAAACAATAAATTTTAATAATAATTAATTAAATAAACATGTAATTACAAAGTTTAAGGTATACATAAAATACATAATGTATACATAAAATAAGGTATATAAATATACAAAACACACATAGATATAATAAAATAAAATATTCGTGTACTTTTAAATTATTATTAAAATTGTAGTGTATTATTTAAATACTTTCTGATGCAATAATTATAATTAATTACAAAAATATCTTACACTGCAAAATGTGGTCATTGTCAAAGGAAATATTTTTCCAGCTGTGAGATAAATTGGTTTAGCACTTCTTATCAGTAAAAACAGCAAGTTTTGTGCAATTTTTGTTTCGGAATACCATTTATTACAATAGGCTGCATAATATACTTCATTACACTAAAAAGTATTTTTAAATAAAAATTGTATTTACACATTCTCTTATAATGAAATAAATTTAACTATTAATTGTACACAAATTATGTTCTCATTTTAATTGTAAATTAATATAATATGTGATTATGTAAATAATAAATGTAATTAACATTAATTTTTATTTTTAAAAACCTGACATTAAATGTTTACAATATTTAATTTAATATAAATTATATTTATAATTATTATGTTTCTGATAATAATAATTATTTTCACTATGTGCACATGAAAGAGAGACAAGTATTAAACTTTATTGTGCATTAATAATAATAATAATAATATCTTTTTTAAATGAATCATATAGTATAATATATAAAGCCAAGTACATAGTATATCTATAACTTATACCACGTCTACAATAGAAAAGAAAAATGCAACTTACTTGGCCCATTAAAAATTCGCCAAGAGCGCAATACAGACACATGTGTCCAAATAGATTGAAAAATGTTGACAGAAAAAATATCAAGTGTGTAACCGATAAATCATTTCCTTCATCAAATAGCTAATTAATTTATAAAATGCGTAAGAAATGCAATTTTTAATAATTTTAATTTATTTTATACGTTGATGACAAAAAATATTTCAAACATAATGACAATATATCTTATTATAAATATAGATAGTTTATATAGTTTATATAGTTTGTATATAAATTATTTTTACGTTAATAAGATTTTACATTTATTCTTACGTTAAAAATTAATTAATAAACAAATTTTTATTTTTAAACGTTACGTTTATATACTTACGTTAATTATGCGGAAACCGTAGAAAGCGAAGAGTATTGCAAAATATGCAAATAATGAGAGAAGTGTTATATTATACGCATCTTCAATAACGGCAATGGCCCTAATAAAAGACATGTATTATGTATAAAACAAATTGTACACGTTATGCGAATTATTTTCATATATATACGAATATTTCCCGTAAATATCAAACCTAAGTAAACGAATGTGTCGAGTTACGCATTTCTTTAATATGTCGTCAGAATTAATATATTTATCCAAATGTATCAAACGACCCTTAAGAATGTCCAATTGACCGGATATATGAAAAACTAGCAAACCAAGAAAATGATCGATTCCAGTATAAGACAAGACTGAAAGAATTATGTAGACAGCTTGACTAATATACGTTAATTCATAAAATGGTCGTTTTGATACGTCATAAATGTAATGAGTTTGTAGAGGCACCACTCTGCCTGGATCAGTAATATTGGTCGTTAATCTCATCGACATTCCAAGGCCAGGGGGAACGATGATAAACAGGCATCCTATTGCCATGATACAATATGCACATGCAACAATTATTCGTGCACTCTGCGCTTTTTTAATCATTATATTTCTTTCTTGCACATTTTTTGGTTTTATCCAATCTTCCGTAATCATGTCTAAGATTGGTATGATAGCTTCAAAAATGTCAATATTGTATATTTCAATGCATATTTAACAATATTTGAATAAAAACTATATCAAATTTAATTACAAGCAGTAAAAAGTTTATTAAGCTTAACAAAATAAAGTTGAAGATAAAACAATTACCAATATATTTTTTAGGAAAAATGATATATAAATAAATAACGAAAACAAAGTTACGTAATGTGAAATTTATATCCGGTAATAATTATAAATTTAAAATTTAAAGAATATGTATGTAAAATCAAATAAGAAATATTAGAAGCATCAAATTCCTGTTATGACCGTATTGGCCTTCTCTCTATTTAATTTGTGTTATATATGTATATACGGTCGATATATGTATATATGTATATACAGGGTGTCCCAAAACCCACGGATTCCTTTTAAGTGCGGATTCTTTAGAATATTCTAAGACGAAAATCCTAATACGAAAATATTGGGACTATAATAGTTTTTAAATTAATAGCGATTAAAGTTGGCTAATCACAGAGCTGACATTTCGCGCGCTCAGACATGAGGATATGACAAGTAATAAAGGTGCTATCGAGGACCCTCTTACTAACGCCGAGATTATCATACAAATATGCAATAATATTTTTTTGCCAAAAAATTATTTTTTCTTATATACGAAACCTATTTGTACATTAAATAACCAATTAATAGCGCAACGTATGAAAAAATATCAATACAATTACGACATATTACGATACGTGTCAGCTGTCAAAATCAATTCATAACTATATTCATTTACCTCGTATGGTGAATATTTTTGTAATAAATAAACCATTTTTAACATGAAAAGAATTGAATATGTTAATACAGTTAAGACTAAAACATTACATTTCTATTATAAAAATATTTACCAGGGGGTAAATGAACATAGTTATGAATTCATTTTGACAGTTAACACATATTGTAATATCTCGTAATTGTATTGATATTTTTTTATATGTTGCAATATTAATTGATTATTTAATGTACAAATAGATTTCGTATAAAAGAAAAAATAATTTCTTAGCAAAAATATGATTGCATATTTGAATGACGATCTCGGTTAAGAGGGTCCTCGTAGCACTTGTAACTTGTCATATCATCGTGTCTGAGCGCGTGAAATGTCAGCTCTGTGATTAGCCAACTTTAATCGCTATTAATTTAAAAACTATTATAGTCCCAATATTTTCGTATTAGGATTTTTGTCTTGGAATATTTTAAAGAATCCGCACCTAAAAGGAAATCCGCGGGTTTTATATAATTCACATATATATGTATATATATATTTTTTTTTTTTTAATTTAAAGGTTTGCTATTAATATAAAATAAATTAAATATTTACATAAATAAATTAGCTTATACGTATTAGGGGCCGTCCATTAATTACGTGAGTGTTATTTTCGGTATTTTAGGCTTCCCTCTCCCTTTACGTGAGTCCCCGTGAGTATTTTAATTACCCCTCCCCTCCCCCAAGATTTCACGTGAGTTTTTGGATATGTTTAATATATGAACAAAAAACGTTTCGGATTACACTAGCTTGGCCAGATTTCCGTTAGGAACTCTAACGAAAACTTATGCTCTCTGACACCTCCCCTCCCCCATGTAAGCACATGTAGAGATTTCACTGATTCCTCCCTCCCCTATATAAATACTTACGTAATTAATGAACGGCCCCTTAGCATAATATATGTAAGTGTATATGTTTAAAAAATATATTATTTTTATATAAAACAAAGTTTTAAAGAAATTTTGAAATTATTATAAATTTTTTATATACCGCCTATATGCATTACATTTTGAAATATAGCAAAAAATTGTCTACCTTCTTTCTTCCACCAAAAAATCATGATTCTTATTGTACAAGTTATAGCTGGTAAAGTAAATTGTAAATTATCTATCATTAACATGATATCTCCATAGATTCTTATAAAAGAATGTATAGAAGGAATCAGAACGCCGAATGTTATCGCCACGAAAACGACAAGCACCCGGAGATTGCACATTAATTTCTGTTGAGAGTTTTGTGCAGCTTTAGGCCAAAGTCCAATAAAATCTAAAGTGATACGATTCAATTTGACCGCCCATTCGAAATCTACCTGTAGAAATCTTAGTGAGTCACAGTTCATGAAAAGAAATATAAAATGTTAATCATACATATAATAATTAATGCAAAACGTAAAAAATATTATATTTAATAGAATAAATAAGATAAAATATTTAAAGACAATTCTACAAATTTAGAAATTATTTAAACACTAATAAATACTAAACAACAAAATCTTTTAAATATCTTTGATAAATGACTAATGTTTATTATAATAGTTAAATGTATATAATAATAATCAGCATAGAATTGAAAGAATAAGATGCAACATTTCTATTAACAATGATACGATTAGATTAACTATCATTATTATCGTAGATTGTAAATAAACAGATTTTTCATAATGTTACTCTCTTTTCTAATTACGACAATCACAAAAACCACCACAAGCACCTTGATATGCGTCATATTTTGAACTGTCCATGTCGAATGTTATCTAAAGACTGGCATCTATTTCTTATTCAGAAAACGACGTTGCATCTGCTATTTTGCAAATGATCCGTGCGCATGCTCGCTTTATGCCATTGTTCTCGAAAATATCGAGCGATCAACTTGCGACAAAGTATTTTAAATATTCTATATCCTCTTGTTTCAAGTTTTCAGCATTTCAGCACCAAACATCACGCAAAGAAGTAAAAAATTTTCGTAATAACTAGTTGGTGAAAAAAATGCACATCTGTCACGTTCACACGTTTTTACAATCAGCTATAGCTTACGTTACTACACGTATACCTACACATATATCTAGACATGTACACATTAGTAATAGACTGCATAAAGTGCGTTTCTTATCATACATGATTTATAATTTCTTTCTTGTTTAACATTCAGTGAACAAAGATAAAATGATACATTATGTTATGAGTACTATCCATAAAACAAAACGCACTTCTAGATTTTTGTCTTTTGAAGTAGATAAATTTGCAAAAATTTTTTAATTGTTGATGTATACTGTGTAATGACAAGTATTATAGTTATTATCTCTGGAAATACGCTTTATAGCAAAACATATTTTAAATAATAGATATACATATAGTCTGAAAGAGAACAAATAATGGAAAAATTATTTTTTCCATTATTTATGGCAAAATCGATTTTTCAAAGATTTTAACAATTATCGTCATTTTCTTAAAATAGTATTATATGATTTTTTTATATTGTATAATATAATTCTTCTGGGTATTCTGAAAGCATTAGTCATAAAACAGCTTTCTTATACAATATTTGACTAATAAATTTGCAAATAAATCTCCCTGTATATTAATAGTGAAAAGTTTCAAAATTTGAAACTATAAAACCTCAAATTGTCGATCTATAATAGAATAAATCAAATATTTAAAGTTTTTTTGTCTTATTTAGACCATGTTTTATTAATATTGAAGACTAAATAACAATAGATAAATCAACGTTCATACATATACTTATGTTATATTTTCACAAACGCAACATTAAACAATTAATACAATATTTATTGATTAGATTTGACTGGTAAAAAATAAGGATCTTCTTGAACTGACATATAAAGGTAAACTTAAATTTAAATTGCTCTACTTCTAATCATCTAAGAATATTCGATACATTTCTGTCAAATTATTCTAACAAAATTTATAATTTATATAGCAATAATATTTTAATATTTATAAAATTTTTAGGTATTATCGTTTCATTATATCATAAAATGAACATATTATAAGGAACAATTTCGATTTATCCCAATTTGCTAATAACTTCTCGTTGTATGTAAAACTGATATATATCCCATTGATGTCTTTAATAACTAAAAAAATATTTTTTTTTATAATAATTAATAATATAAATGTTAAAAAAGTTTGAATTTTATATATATTATTTATGCATAAAATAAGATACATAGATATGCATAAAATATACATAGCAAAATAAAATAAAATATTTATAATTTATTCAATAATTAAGATGCAGACTATCGTATAAAAAGATTATAAAAATTACAACGTTCAAATACTTATGATGTAATAATTATAATTAAATACAAGAATATCTTACACTGCAAAATGTGTTCATTGTCATGGGGAATATTTTTCCAGCAGTAAGATAAATCGGTTTAGCGCCTCTTACCAGTAAAAACAACAAGGCTCGTGTAATTTTCAAATCCGCGGAATACCATTTATTACTGTAGGCCGCATAATATATTTCGTTACACTAGAAAATATTTAAAAAATTTTCAGATAAAAATTTGATGTACACATGACAAAATTAATATTATTTTAATTATAATAAAATAAATTTAGTCGTTAATAATTAATTTATGTTTATTTAAACTGTAAATTAATGTATTTGTGTGAATAATGAATGCAATAAGCTACGTATTAGCTGTTCTTATTTTCTAAGAAATTATACTAAATTTTTAAAACAACTATAAATTTAATATAAATATATTACAATCAATTTATTTTTAATACTAGTGTTTTTGCTTTGTGCATATGATAAATATAACATTTTATTGTGTGTTTACAATATAATATTTTTCTTAAATGATTCATATATTAATATACTATAAAATCAGGTACGCAACTTTTAACTTATACATTTATAATAGGAAAATATAACTTACTTGGGCCACCAAAAACTCTCCGAGAGCGCAATATAGACACATATGTCCAAATAAATTAAAAAATGTTGATACAAAATATACCAAATGAGTGATTGATAATTCATTTCCTTCGTCAAAAAGCTAAATAATTTATAAAATGTGTAAAGGTAATTATTTAGTATAAGGAACCAATTCTGATCACCATGATTTTGACATATATTATTAAGATCATAATCTTGAGGGACCTTCAGAAAGTTTGACCCGTCGCTCGTTGTTCGTTAAAAGTTATTAACAAAAAAATTTATAAATTTACTGGGAATAAAATTACTGGGAAAAAATAATACTTGGTTTTTCAATTATTTTATAAAAAGAGTGATGTGAAGTAGTGTACAATTATAGATCTCATTTCGCTCCGTAAGTGGGTATGGGGTGGATTTCGCTTTGCTTGAAATATCGAAAACCTATCTGAAACAGTAATTATAGATTTTATTTCGCCCCTGTATAATTGTACTATTCCACATCAATTTTCCATGCAAAGCAAGGTCCATCTTACATTCACCCCTGCTTAAAGGGCAAAATGAGATCTATAATTACACTGTTCCTTATGAGATTTCAATTTTCTCATAACGACATATGTCAAGGTCAAGGTCATCAGAGCTAGTTTTCCTATACTAAATAATTAGCAATATTTTATAAATATACAATATTTTATAAATATATCAATAGCATGCATTAAAAATAGTATTTAGCTATTATTTGAGTTAATAACTTCACATTTATTTTTACGTTAAACTGAATAAACAAACTTTTATTTTTAAAAGTTTCTATACTTACATTAATTATACGGAAACCGTAAAAAGCAAAGTGCATTCCAAAGTATACAAATAATGAGAGAAGTGTTATATTATACGCATCTTCAATGATGGCAATGGCTCTATGAAAAATATTCTATGTATTAGATATAAGACATGAAAATCAGTTGTGCATGTCATGCAAATTATTTTTTAATATTTTTGTATATATATGTATATAAATACTATTTTTTAATATCAAACCTGAGTAAACAAATGTGACGAGCCATACATGTTTTTAACATGTCGTAAGAATTGATGTATTCATCCATATGTATCAAACGTTCTTTGAGAATGTCCAGTTGGCCGCATATATGGAAAACTAACA